CTCCCACTCCTTACAAAGGTCCCAACTTGTGTTGTAGTTTTATAACAGCAGCTGTTCACTTTCATTTGTTAACTTTCAGTGTTTAGTGAGCCGAGAAGTGAGTCATGCCGGGGGATTCTGATACGAGTTTAGTCTGCTGTTGAATGTTACCAGGTCAGGACAAGACACAAAGAGGAAAGCAGGAAGGGAACATGGCAGTGAGAACAAAAGGCACCGCAGTGGGCAGGAACAAATCTAGAGCGTGTGTAGAGAGAAGGTGCTTCGATGATGGAAATGTGTATTTTTGGTGGCTTAGACTCTTAAGAGWAATGAAGAGTGTCATTTATTTAGCATACTTGGTATCCACTCAACRGTTACCACCATCAACAATCGTTTCAGATCACCTGAACTTGTTACTGTACACCCCTGTTGTCTTTATCTCTGTGTATTATCACAGCAGCTGGGGTGTGTCTGACTGCTTTGTTTGTCTTCCTAGTTCTTTCCTCTTTTTTATTTGTTGTTGTTGCTAGTTACCTCAATGCAGTTGTCAGAGATGCTAATTTTCTCTGTTCGTTTTCTCTAATATTTCTGTATTTTCAGTACAAATAGATGTGATGAAGAATAGATCTGCATTTGTGTCTGTTCATTTAGGAAATCCTTTAATCCAAACACATTTAGTTTTATTGCAGCCATACTGCAATGTGCATGTTTGTCTTCTATATTTGTCTTTTCTTCAATTACAAAGTGCCGTCGTAACCTTTTCTTCTGCTCTGCACCCTTTTATCAGTCTGCACAGCAGCTGTTGTAAGATGCTCAGGCAGGAAATAAAGCTTTTGACCTGTTGGCTGGTTCTATTTCTGGCTGCGCAGGCATGAATCACTAATGCTGCTTTTTTTTGTTGTTGTTGAGGTAACCTGTTCAGTACTGTCAGAAAAAGATATAAATGTTCCAGTTTGCCTTTTTTTTCTCTCTCTTGATCCAAAGCAATATAATCTTATATAGTCCAGCCTGTCAACAGTGTTTGACTCAGATAATTTCTCTGTGTCAACAACTTTGTTTTAATGCCAGACCCTTTTTAATGTTGTCACTGCAGAGAGAAGACACAGTTCAACCAGCAAGCCAGCCTCCACGTCGCCCTTCTCCGTGCCGAGCAGAAACCGAAGTACCGGCAGCGGGCTTGGGTCCGCGCTCGGCTCAGGGACTGTGGCCGGAGTGACAAGTGGAGGCATCCTTAACCGACTGTCCTCTGCTGGCTCCAGTTTATCATCCTCTTCATCGTCCTCCAATACAAAATTCTCCAAATCAGCCAAAGAGAAACTGCAAGGCATTCAACGAAGACCACCTCCTGCCTCTTTCAGGGAGGCTCAGCCAGACAAAATGTAAGTTTTTTTTTCCTTTTACCTAAATCTCTGCAACATTTGATGTTGCTAAGCTTGATATGTAACAAAGCAGAGTTCAAGACTGGAAGTTGCATTGTGACCATTAAGCTGGAAACATACTCCCTCCGACGCCGACGGGTCGACACGTGGTCACGTGGTTGTTCGGCATTCGTTTTCGCACACACCTTTCATAGTTCCTGAGACACTCCGCGCCGAGCTCCTGGAAACCCCCCTCCCGCTGCAGCATACGTCACTGCATGGAGTTTCTCCCCGCAACAGTCAACAATGCAGGAAAAAAAAAGTCAGATTCGTCACTCACCCGACGTTATTTATCCACATCTGTCCTGGTTAAAGCTCCACAGTTTTTATCAGTCAGATTCCTCCATGCACAACGTCTGTTTAATCTCCATTCATGAGTTTTTCACAGTTTGACTGTCTTCATAAAACTCTGTTTCCTGGTCAGTCGGTTCTGGAAGCGAGTAGTTTTATTTTTTTAACCAAGTGGAAGCATCCGAGCGCTTTCAGCACAAATAAACAAGCCACAAGTTTTTCACGGTTTGGCTATCTTTATAAAACTCTGCTTTCTGCTAACAGTCAGCTCTGGAAGCGATTTGTTTTTTTTCTCGAGCGCTTTCAGCACAAGCAAACACGCCCACAAACTTCAGACCAATCACACATTGCCGTCGACACGGGAGTGGGGTAAAAAGTTCTGCAGGCGGGTTGTGCCAAAAGGGGCTGCCGAGCCGACGCTACGAAGCCCAGTGACGTAATTTTCGTCATGAAACTGCAACAACCCGTGCCGACATCGACAGTTCGGAGGGAGTATGTTTCCAGCTTTATTTGGGTGTGTTGTAAGTAAATTTAAAAGCTAGACACACCAACCATTTTATTTATAATTATTTATTTATACACACTAACTGTCAAAACTTTAGACACACTTCTCTTACCATGGAATGACACTGTTCCTAAACCTTTGACTTGTACAGGGTTCCTGCAGAACTTTAAAAAGTTAAAAGGCATTGAATTCATCAGTCCAATAATAAGGCCTTAATTAGCCTTAAAATGTCTTAAATCTATCTTTCAAAGGGTTTTAAAAATGTTGACATTGTAAGTAGGATGATTGTAATTCGTCTCAAATATTAAAATAACTTGTAACATTTATTATTATTATTATTTTTTAAATAGTTTACCAAAGCCTCTCGCAGGTAGTTGTTTGGTGTTAAAATAAACATTAGGGTAAAATTGTCGCTAACAGGGGCTCTTTTCTATTTGTGTTTATTGTGAAGTTGGCCTTAAATTTAATTTCAAGTGGCATTAAAGAGGTCTTAAAAAGTCTTAAATTGAAAAACAAATGGTTATTCTTTTTTCATTTTATACTCCAAAAATGGAAAAAACAGTCTGTCTTTTTTATTTTTGTGAATCTGGAGTGTACACTTGTCAAACCTGCTGCGGCTTCAAGTTCCTCATCATGCTCCTCTTGGGGAAAGGCTTAATGTGCTAAAAGCCCCAGAAGCTCCAGGAAATAGTGATATGCAAACTATTTGCTAACACCTGTTAAAAAAATGTCAAACTAGTTAGTTAGCTAGATATAAAGTAAAACGTTCATTCATCCCATTATCGGACCATTTAAGGTGGAGCTAGATAAAAAGATTTTTAAAAGAAATGGGCTAAACTAGCTATGTAAAAAAGTTATTTAACTAGTTCCACCTTAAATGGTTTGATAATGACAGTGTTAAACTTCTGTTTAACGGACTGTTTCCCCCATTTTTGGAGCATAAATTGAAAAAATAAATAACTTTTCGTGTTTCAATATCTTTTTTAAAATGAAATTGAATGACCAAAAAGTACACAGGCCCAACTCAATAAACACTTTTAAAGATATGTGCGATCAGGAGAAGTTCTCAGTTTGAGATGGGCAAAACTACATCTTCAGATATGAGCCATATGCATTGTAAACATTTCAAAAATCAAAAATGTCAGATGTTTTCTTAATCGTTTTTGTGCCTGACTTTTTCAGGCTGAACTAGTTCACTCAACAGAAAGTATTTGTAAAATTCAATAACAGTGTAAAGTGCAGAGGAACAGTCGCACCCCCTAAAAAAAAAGGTGTGTGTGTGTGTGGTAGGGGGGGGGGCGGTCTATCATTTTTAATTCATCCAGTCATTTTACTTTAAATTTCACATTGGCATTATTATACTCTTTAAATGAAAACAAGTGTGGTAAGGGTTTTGTTTATTGTTCAGTGCTGCTGTAAAGTTGCTTTTAGATGTCTAATCTGTTACCATTGTTCTGTTGCAGTGATAATATTGGAAAAGGTTATGTTGTCTAAGATTTAATGCATTTTTTATTAATTACTACCAGAGCTCTTTGTTACAACTTGAAACTGCATTTAGGAGAAAAGTAGTATATTTGTGTGTTTGTTTTTTACCAAGTCGATAAATGACTAGGTTGATGTTTTGTCCGCTCAGCCCTCTCCATGCGTCCACATCCGTCTCCTACCATGTGCTTCTCACTGGATCGGTGTTTCTAACTCTCAGCTTGCTCCTTGCTGCCCTCTTCATCTCTGTAACCTTCTTTTCCAGCCCTGCTGTTAAGATGGAGAAGATGCATCTGAAGGTGGACTCAGCTAAGCTGGTGCAGACTCCATCTGCTCCCGTCACCACCTCATCCTACTCCTCTAACACCACTGTGAGCTTCAACACTGCCCCCATCGCAACCTCCTCATCGTCATTATCATCATCAGCCCTTAAACCAGGCCTTAACTGTTCCTCCATACCAAAGCCTCCATTACCGGCCCCAGGTCAGATTCCTTATGGCAAGATCCTCCTGGCGGACAAGAAGCAGGATAGCAGCAGCAGTGCCAGTAGCAGACGCCATTGTAACAAGAAAGTGTCAGGTCAGACAAACTGGTTTCTGTTTATGTTGACAGCACTTTGTTGTGTCAAATGTTTTGTGTTGTCAACTTACTTTAGATTTCATATCATTGTTTTGTATTTTAATGTCTTATGTATTACATAACTAACAAAGTACATGATACATTGGATCACCTTTTAGGACACTGACGCAAAAGATACATTTCCTGAATGACCTTTGTTCATCCCCTCTCCTCTCCTCTCCTGTGCCTGCAGAGCGTGAGTTCAACCCAGACATTCATTGTGGCGTTATGGTTGCTGCAGCTCAGAAACCCTGCACAAGATCCCTAACATGCAAGGTAACCGCCAGCTGTTTGCACCTGAGCCAGATTAGCTTTAATTAGAAATGAAACATGTCGCCGTTTTACCATTAGAAATTGAATTTAAATTGTTTTACTGCTGTTTTAAAGACTCTTTATAAGCTTATGATSAGCTCAGATACAAGCAAAAGGTAATAAAAGCACACCTGGGGTTTCACGGCCTTAATGTTCGTTCTTTGGTTTTTTCGTTTCAAAATAAAACAAGAAAAAAATAATTATCGGGTGTTTTCTTTAGTTTTCTTGTTTTACAATAAAATGTAGAAAAATGACAATATTTTTTTTTATTTTAATGGTTAAAGCAAAGACACGCTTTATATTTTGTTAGTACACCATTTGAGGCCTTCAGGCAGAACAGGAAATCATAGCCTGAGCTTGCAGAGCATTACATTTTCACTTCCACCTGTGTACAGATTTTTTGATCAAAGTTTAACTGTTCTTTTTTTTTTTTTTTTTTTTGCTGTTCCAACAGACACATTCTATAAGTCATCGAAGGGCGGTACCAGGACGAAGAAAACGCTTTGATATTTTGCTGAAAGAACTCAAGGACCGATCCAACTTTCAGCAAAACGCCCCTCTCAGGGACCCACCCCCCAACCCTCAACCTGCCCCAGTCAACAGACCAGACATAGAAACCCCAAAGCCTTCGCCTCTTGGAAAGCCCAAATTTCACAGTCCTGGTCTTCCTCGGTTAGTGCTGTGCCACATTTATTTGTTCAAACCATTACTTTAAAGTTTGTTTGTACCTACTTCATCCCAACTAATGTTTTTTTCTTTCTTTCAATTTTTTAAAATTTCTGTGAAACAGTTAATGTACTTCGGTTGTCCCCCAAACTTTCTGTCCATCAGAGTAAACAGCAGTCCTGCAGGAGGTTCCTCTGGAGATCCTGCAGTTGTCCACGAGTCGCCACACCATCCCCAAACTACGCATGATGGTCTTTCCAGACCCTCCAGTGATGAGGGGGAGAATGAGGAGCGTGAAGATAATGCAGAAAAACTGGACTGTCTCTATTCAGGTTATCACCCTCGACCGGCAGCTGTGAGTGTCTAAAGTTGTCCACAACTTAACAGCTCTGACAGATTATATATATATTTTCTGATTCAATCGGTTCTTCTCTTCCCAGTACTGTACCTTTGGAAGTCGACTATTCGGGAGAGGCTTTTACTCCTTTGACAGGCGGTGGAACAGAGTGCGATGTACCCTAACCACGATGATGGAAAAGCATGTCAACTCTCAGATGTGGAAGTATGTCTGTCCATTTCCTCTCGTTTACACTGATTATGCAGCAAGACAATACATTGTAGGAAGTTCTCTTTTATTGGTCTTATATGATGAGATAGGTGTCATGCTGCGTTCACATCTAATGCGATTTCAGCATCAAAATCGCATCTAATGCTTCAAAATGGACGCTTGTGCACTTTGAGGTCAGACGCGAGTCAAAATTGCTCTTGAAGCGCTCGATGCGTGTCGAGCCTCCCCGCCCCCTCCCTCCTCTGTCGGTCTGTCCTCCTCTGTCGGTCTCTGTGTAACGTCGCATAAAATAAAGGAAGTGGCTTTGCTTTATTTACTGAGAGCATTAGAACATCACGCTCAACAGATAATTAATTCATAATTAATTCACCTGATAATTCAGACTTTCTGAGTTTGGTGACTTTCACCACCCAGGAGCTGCGAGCTGACTTGAGGCTCGCTTTCAGGACTACTTTTGTCCCGAGCTCAGTTCAATGAGCCGCTGACCCACGTCGGTGCTGATATCTCCTGCCAGCACACTGACTACAGGCACTCGATTTCAGCTAAACACCTCAAAAACTGTTGAATTATTTCTAGATCCTAAATCAAGCAGTGATCGGAGTCCCATAGCCATACAGGGCTGCCCCAATAAACAGGTTGCATCTTTTAAATACTTAGCTGTGTTCATAGATGGCGACTTGAGCTGGRGCACACATGTGACAAATGTACAGTGGGGAYAATAAGTATTTAGTCAGTCACCAATTGTGCAAGTTCTCCCARTTAAAAAGATGAGAGAGGCCTGTAATTGACATCATAGGTAGACCTCAACTYTGAGAGACAAAATGTGAACAAAAATTTGAGAAAATCATTTTGTCWGACTTTTAAAGAATTTTTTTGCAAATAATGGTGGAAAATAAGTATTTGGTCAATAACAAAAGTTCATCTCAATACTTTGTTGTATATCCTTTGTTGGCAATGACAGAGGTCAAACGTTTTCTGTAAGTCTTCACAAGGTTGGCACACACTGTTGCTGGTATYTTGGCCCATTCCTCCATGCAGATCTCCTCTAGAGCAGTGATGTTTTGGGGCTGTCGGCGGGCAACACGGACTTTCAACTCCCTCCAAAGGTTTTCGATGGGGTTGAGATCGGGAGACTGGCTAGGCCACTCCAGGACTTTGAAATGTTTCTTACGAAGCCACTCCTTTGTTGCCCTGGCAGTGTGCTTGGGATCATTGTCATGCTGAAAGACCCAGCCACYTTTCATCTTCATTGCCCTTGCTGATGGAAGGAGGTTTGCACCCAAAATCTCACAATACATGGCCTCATTCATTCTTTCATGTACACGGACCAGTCGTCCTGGTCCCTTTGCAGAGAAACAGCCCCAAAGCATGATGTTGCCACCCCCATGCTTCACAGTTGGTATGGTGTTTTTTGGATGCAACTCCGCATTCACTTTCCTCCAAACACGACGAGTTGTGTTTTTACCAAATTGTTCTACTTTGGTTTCATCTGACCATATGACATTCTCCCAATACTCTTCTGGAACATCCAAATGCTCTCTAGCAAACTTCAGACGTGCCTGGATATGGACTGGCTTAAGCAGGGGGACACGTCTGGCACTGCAAGATCTGAGTCCCTGGCGTCGTAGTGTGTTGCTGATGGTAGCCTTTGTAACATTGGTCCCAGCTTTCTGCAGGTCATTCACTAGATCCCCCCTTGTGGTTCTGGGATTTTTCCTCACTGTTCTTGTGATCATTTTGACCCCACGGGCTGAGATCTTGCATGGAGCCCCAGATCGAGGGAGATTAGTAGTGGTCTTGTATGTCTTCCATTTTCTGATTATTGCTCCCACAGTAGATTTCTTCACACCAAGCTGCTTGCCTATTGCAGATTCAGTCTTCCCAGCCTGGTGCAGGTCTACAATTCGGTTTCTGGTGTCCTCCGACAGCTCTTTCGTCTTCACCATAGTGGAGTTTGGAGTGTGACTGTTTGAGGTTGTAGGCAGGTGTCTTTTATACTGTTAACGACTTCAAACAGGTGCCATTAATACAGGTAATGAGTGGGGGAAAGAGGAGCCTCTTAAAAAAGAAGTTACAGGTCTGTGACAGCCAGAAATCTTGCTTGTTTGTAGGTGACCAAATACTTATTTTCCACCATTATTTGCAAAAAAATTCTTTAAAAGTCAGACAAAATGATTTTCTCAATTTTTTTTTCACATTTTGTCTCTCATAGTTGAGGTCTACCTATGATGTCAATTACAGGCCTCTCTCATCTTTTTAAGTGGGAGAACTTGCACAATTGGTGACTGACTAAATACTTATTTTCCCCACTGTATATGCAAAGGTTCACCAGCATCTCTATTTTCTTAGACGCCTTCGACTGTGAGGTGTTTCTAAAATGATAATGCCGATCTTTTATAGGGCAACCATCGAGTCTATTCTTAGATATGGAATCACTGGTTGGTTTGGAAATCTCACTGTTAAATTAAAAACTCAAATCCAATGTCTGGTGAAAATGGCAAGTAACATTATCAACACTCTGGATTAATCTACTCCACAATTCCTGTTTGAGCAGGCTACCATCAGGCAAGACATCTTGTCTGATGGGTCCCATGTACCCGCATCAGAATATGTTCTTATGAACTCTGGGAGAAGGTTCAGGGTCCCCCTTTGCAAATACAACCTTCTGAAACATTCATTTGTACCTCTATTAAACTGATAAATGGCAGACGAGCAGGGACTGGACAGAGTGATAGGAGGTCCAGACAATAACCAAGACTAGCATGTAGAGGATGTATTGGGGGTGRACTGCTGAGTTGATCTCATCTGACATTTGTGGTTTTATGTATTTTTTATGTATTATTCATTGTTACTGTCCTTTTGGATGAGTTTTTTATTGCAATTGTTATTGTTTTGTTGTAGTGTTTGCCCGTGCTTTCAGGACAAATTTCTCCCATGGGAGACTAATAAATTATCTTATCTTATCTTATCTTATCTTATCTTATCTTATCTTATCTTATCTTATCTTATCAGCTCCTGTCCATCTGTCTCGGGTTAGTGGACATCATTCAGGAAACTGTCCCGTCAGAAAATCTGTCACTACGACCCACAGTGGAGTCTCTCAGATTGGTTGATGCGCCACGTTGAGCTGCAAAAATTCAGACTCCAACTCCAGCATTCATTGCACGATTCGCTCCACTCTAATCGCGCTAGACGCACCACAGCACTTCACAACGCTGCTCGACACGCGTCCACCATAGGCTTCGCATGTAAACCGGACGCTGAAATTGTGTTCGGTGTGAATGCAGCATCTGATATTTTTATTTTATTTATTTATATAATTTATTCATTTTATTTGTAACAATTATATACACAGCAAAAAACAAAACAAAAAAAAAACATGCAATGATATCACTGTCCCGTTAACAAAGTGACTGTTTTTAAAAACTTTTTTGTTTATTTGTAGGAAAATTCCCTTGGCCTTGGAGAACTCCTTTTCTGTTGCACCTACCCATAGGACAAGCACAAATTCCCATGGTAGCACTCCCTCTTCAGGCTTCCTGGGCCCCCCTGCCACCTTGCCCCAAACTCCTTATGAGGGCAAGTCAGCGCTCTCCTATGGGACCACCTTAAATGCTCACAGCTCCCTACAGGGCGGGGCTGAGCACCCGGCCTATGGTACCACGCAGGCCCGACAAGTGTCTTCGTCGCCGCAGATGCCTTCAGCCCACTTGTCCTCATCTTCTTCTTCTTCTTTAGTTCCTTCCCTTGCCTCAGGCCGGACGCTTAAGTCCCGTTCCTCCAGCAGCAGCAGCACCACGAAGTCCTCCTCGTCCTTCAGGCCCAAGGAGACGTCCTCTGGCTCCTCCACCCCTGTCACCCCAAACTCTGCCAGTGGAGGAGGCGCTGGAGCAAACAGTAGCACCACTAGCTTTAGCTCGGGTAAAAAGAGGAAGAACAGCTCTATCCTTTCTTCATCTCACGCCTCCTCTGAATCCTCCTCTTCTAATGCCAATTTCTCCTCCTCCTCCTCTTCCTCGTTCAAGAAGAACTGTGCAAATGTTGGCAGCTCAGGGAGCACCTACCACCATAGCTCATTTGGACTGTCATCTTCATCTTCACTGTCCTTCTCTCACAGTGGTGTTCACAGCGTGGGGCTGAACTGTGGCCCAAACGTGCGGACCAACTCYCTCAGTCTCAAGGCGGAGCCCTCTGGAGGTTCAGCTGTCGGTTCCTCTGGCCCACCGGCTCGAGGCCCGCCCTCGGGCAGCCCCGCTGAGTCCATAAAGCGTATGAGTGTGATGATGAACAGCAGTGACTCGACTCTCTCTCTGGGGCCTTTTGTTCATCACCAGTCCTCGTCCTCATCCGACCACCACGCCAGCTTTAGCCACCACTCCTCGGACGGACGCCTGGAGGGCAAGAAGCGCAAAAGCTCKTCCGCTTCCAGTGGCATTAACAGTGTGGGTGGGGGTGGGGGGCTCGGAGGAGGAGCAGGCGGAACTGGACCAGGTAGACCCAAAGTGGCCAAGTCACCCGCCATGAACAACATTCATGGGAAGCACGGGAGAAGCCTTCCAGGCACGCCAGGTCTACCGAACAACTCCCATTTACATCAGGTTGGCTTTTTGTCTTGTTTGTAAAGCAAGAACACTTGTTTCATTTGATTTTTGAGCTTTTTGATGTCATTCCCTCATCAAAATCACACCCAGAGTTAGGGATGGGTACCTTTTGACATTTGAATCGATTCGGTACCAATATCCAGTACCTGGGAATCAGTACCGGTACTTATGGGTACCAATTTTCGGTACTTTGTGTGTGTTGCTTTTTAATGATAAACTTTTTAAACATATTTCTCAATATATAAAATTTAACAAATATAAAGACAACATCCAACTCTTTGTATTGTAACATCAGTTGTTTAACAAATTTAAAGTGAAAACTCTTGAAAACAACAAGACTGTTTTGTCTTATTGTACAAATTAAAATCCAGCTCCACGTATTTCTATTGATGTCATTTCCCTGCTAGGAAAATTGTGTGATGGAGGTCGGGTCCATGGATGGCAAATAAGTTCAAATTAAATAAGCAAAAGAGGATGGAGTTAAAATAAATAAAATGTATTCANTACCCAGAGTTAGGGATGGGTACCTTTTGACATTTGAATCGATTCGGTACCAATATCCAGTACCTGGGAATCAGTACCGGTACTTATTGGTACCAATTTTCGGTACTTTGTGTGTGTTGCTTTTTAATGATAAACTTTTTTAAACATATTTCTCAATATATAAAATTTAACAAATATAAAGACAACATCCAACTCTTTGTATTGTAACATCAGTTGTTTAACAAATTTCTCTAATGTGAAAACTCTTGAAAACAACAAGACTGTTTTGTCTTATTGCACAAATTAAAATCCAGCTCCATTTATTTCTATTGATGTCATTTCCCTGCTAGAAAAATTGTGTGATGGAGGTCGGGTCCATGGATGGCAAATAAGTTCAAATTAAATAAGCAAAAGAGGATGGAGTTAAAATAAATAAAATGTATTCAAGCTACGTTTTGAGCATCCAAAACACGTCCAACACTTTAAAGCTGGCTGCTTGTGTTCTTTCAGGTCAGACGTGTTCGGACTGTCGGGAAGCACCTCTGTTGTTTTCCTCTGCTGGTCTCTGTTTAATGGTGAATGAAATAAAGAAATTGGCGGTACTTTATTTACTTTGAGCAAGTGAACGTCGTGCTCATAAGATAATTAATCCACCAGATAATTCAGAGGTGGTCTGTTCGGTGAGTTTTACTCCAGGTGCTGTGAGGCTTTTAAACTACGTTCAGACTGAACTCTGTTTACTGAACCAGGCGGCTGCTGACGTCATTACGCTCTTGCGCAATGCTGCGTTCAGGACAGGTGTGGAAAATTTCCCACTCTTACGCCAATACAGTTGCAATGATTCGTTTAGGTACTGAACCATAATACTGTTTGATGTTATGTGAATAGGTTCTCGGTAATACCGACAGAATTCGGTCGGTACGTAAAAAAGTATCAAATTCGGTACCCATCCCTACCCAGAGTGATGCTTTGACTCATTCATGCTTGTTTGAGAAATTCTTGAATCTTCTGTGGTGGCCARGTGGAGCTGCCTAAACACTTGCTGGTACAAAGCTCCGCCTATTMTACCTAGCTCCTCCCTGCAGACTGAGCTCTGCCCCACAGAGCAGCCCTCCCCTGAAGCATTGTTATAAAAATGTGCTGAAGTGGGAGTGTTGGAAATGGTAGGAAGTTCTTAGAGACAGCAACCAACTTCAAGGAGTTTAGATTTTATTTTTGATATCTACAGCATTTTCACAACAACTGAAGGTAACGTAGTAACTTGACTGTGGTGTAGAATTAAAATGTGCCTGGAAAATACATAATACCCCGTCTTTAAAACGTTTTTTTCTTTAAAAACCACACAATTTTTTTTTTTGTCTGGTAAATCTTTAGAATATTACATGAAGTGTGCATGTATGAAATTATAAAAATTGCTGTTTGCATCCTTAAACGGTGAACAGCTTTACAGTAAGGCTGATTTATGTTTATCTTTTTGTTTTTCTTCAACAGTTTTTAACAGATCCTCCTCTGTTTTTTTTCCCTTCTTTCTGCAGCCAAAAGCTCGTCCCTGACAGCAGCTTCCCGTTTCTGCATTTGAAAAGGGGCAGGCGGACAGAGAAAAGTCCAGAGCAGACTGCAAGCTGTTCTGGACTGCATGAGGCCTTCTGAAATTAAATACACATTACTCTCAGCTTCCCACAATCCTCAGGGTGGAGATGATTTGGACTGCCCAGTGAAGTAGACGTGGTCCTTACAATTTCTCCCAAAGCCATGTGTCTGTGTTTTATGTGTGTGCTTGTGTGTGTAGAGGCACAGAATGGAGTCGTGGGGGGGGGGGTCACACGAGGAAGCCAATAATCCCCCTACCCCCACCCACATGTCCCAGTTTTCTGAGAGGTCTTCCCATCTGGTTAGAGGTGAAAGAAACTAAAAAGGTGTCATCCTGCGGTTCAGGTTAAAGGCTTACATGAGTCGTCAKGATGCAGAACAACTCTGGAGACAAGAAGCCGATCTCTTCTGTGTACGAGTGCGCGATTATGTGACTTCAAGTGTTTATTTCTACTTTATCATGTCAGATTCTGCTGGAGTTTCTAATTTAACTACACCCCCACCACCTGATCTCAGAAGCCTTGCAAAGGAGAGCAGGAGGAGGAGCAAAACTGAGAATTGCAACACTTTAAACACAATCACCTTGTTTTTGTTTTTTTTTTTCTGCTCTTCGTTGACTTTGATCACGTCCCGTAACCTCGAGTTACACACAGTCGCCCAAGACAAGCCCATTGAGATAATCTGGTTTGAGTACCCAGAATAATTATGCAAAGTGTTACCTTTTTATGATTTCCTATGATCTTTTTACACTGTACTACGAAGGGTCTTTGTAGTTGAAGACGGTTGTGCTTTTAAAATGTGAAAAGGTCACCTGATGTGCCCAGTCAGTTGGATCCTTCTGTCCGAGAGACGACGTGGTCCTGAAGGGGGACACCTGTTCGGAATCCTTTCATTGTGCAAAAACGATAGCCACAAGTAGACCTCCCCCCAACTGTGAACAGCACTTAATACTTTCTCCGCAGGCACTGCTTCGCTGCTCACAAGGCAAGACAAAAGCTGCCACATCTTTGCCAACTACCTTTTTATTTTTTTTTGCGTCAACGCAGGGAGTCTTGTCACGATGCAGTGATGTTGCTTCGTGAGGAAAATCTTTGCGAGTTGTTTCATTTTAGCCACAATTTCTACTTAATACTCATGCAGTTGTGTGTGGGCTGATGTGAATTGTAATTTTATTTTTTTCTCCTTGCCCCCAAATACAAAATCAGGTATGGTACGTCTTAACTGGAACAAACTTGCACGTCGCTCGTCTTCTGTGGGATTRGATTGTCCTTCCTATAACCACTACCCAAATCGCTGGATGCTGGCGTCTCGCCGTAACACATCATAGGTGTTAGGTTTGTCGCGGTAGCCAGGATCTATGCTCCTTTTTGTCAGAATGGAGTCTTAAATGTGGTCATTTTAAGATGTTTGCTTTATGAATAAGTCCGGGTGAGCTTTATGGTGCGAGATTCATGGCGATGACTTCATAGGAACGTTTATTTTTATTTTTTTTGGCGAAACTTGCTGATTTATGGAAACCCCGCCCCTACTGATGTCAAATAGTGTTGTAGAGAGAACTTGTTTTTATTATTATTTTAAGGGAAGAATCTTTATTCCCCTTCTGTTCTTGTAGCCTAAGTATCAAACAAGTATGGAAGTTGTCCCTGTTTGAGGATACATATTTTGTTAACAAACTGTACATAGTAAAGTATGTATTTTTGCACAGGCCTTTTTCATACACGCTGAAAACGTTTTGGTACAAATTTGAAGATTATTTATTTACTAAAAGGAAAAAAAACAAAAAGAAACTTCAAGGAACATGACTTATTTGAAGTGGTTCACTGCCAAGTTTATACAATGCAATACATGTAGGAGCCGAAGCATCTCATGAATCGTGTACTCAGATCCTTTAAGGTGGAAGGGAGAAGTGTTGCCACTGTAGCATGTGTCTGTATGAGAGTTTATTCACGTAATAAGGTCTGAATCACATGTGCTTTTACTAGATATTTTTCTGTTGCCTATGAATCAACACAAAAAAAAGCAACTCTTGTGACCCAATTAGTCTGTAATTTTGAAATGTCATGGCCTGAAGCTGCGCCCGTTTCAACAGCTTCTATGGACTTTTGAGTCATACGCTGTGTAGACCTTAAACATGTTTCATGATTAAAACATTTTCCCCCCTCCTTCCTCTAAAGGCTAAAGGGATTTAGCAATCACTGCAAGAGGAACACATTTTCGAACAGTCCCGACCGCTTGCATCATCGTTGCCAAACAAGTAATTTAAATCACAGCTTTTAAAGAATGAGTTCAGCAGCTTTTCAAAGAAATATCAAAATTTAAAAAAGTGCCTGAATTTGTCTCACCCTGCTTGAGGACAGTATTTCTTTGGGTTGTTTTACCTTTTTACTTGAATGTTCAAAGTATTTAGGTGTTTGGTTTTTCATATCTGCCTGTGAACCCTAAATGTGGTCAAACCTGAGCTCTTATTTTGTATGATTTTTTTTTTTAGTTTTCCTTCAGGCGAGATGTAGATTTTGTAAGCCACAGTTTGTGGTTTATAAACCCTGATTTACTGAGATTTGTACGTAGTACACATTTCCGTTTGCTATCAAAATTTAACTGAGATCCTCAGTTTCCTGTCCATGGAAACACGAGGATGATTTTTTTTTTATTCCACCGTAGACTTAGAATGTGAGGGAGAATACAACTAATGTCTGGGAAGGAAAGAAACAAATCCACCATTTATACTATGTAAAAGCGTGTATAGATTTTTTTTTTCTGTATACATTATCAGAATCATTTTCAGCTGGACTTATGTATTGGCTGCTATGTAATTCATGAACAAAACATAGGTTAGAATTAATATTTAAAGAAAAGATTGTATAGTATATTTGTTTTGTAACAAGTTTGTGTAAATAAAATAATTTATACTGCTATTTATATGAAATCCTGCCTCTGCCTCTTTCATGGGAAGAAGAACCTTGAGAAGTGGTTTTAGTTAAACAGGTTTTATTATATACACAATATAAGAGTCACTTTGTCAGACAAACAGGTTTACCAAGAAAAAAAAAATGCAAGTCTCGCTGTAATAAAGATGGCCGCTGAGGTTACATGTTGATGACTCTGGACAACTTCTGGACTCTGTTGAGCAGCAGGTCACCCTTTTTGATGGTTTCCTGGTACTGCCAGTTTTTACTGTCAGGCCTGTAAAAAGGAACAAGACATGAATTTAGACTTTAATCCTTTCTGGTTATTTAATATTGACGTGTTTAAGCTTTTAGGTAGAAGTTACCTATTGGTTTCCACGATCTCGTTAACTTTATCGATTTTACAGTGCAAACGGCCGGCAGCTATGAATCGGGAGAGTTCCCTGAGGAAAAAGAAGATTTGGTTGAGTCAGTCTGAATAAGAAAGGAGTAACATGATGGTTTCCTAAAACTCATGACCACATGGAGTCCTTACAAGTTTCAGAAATTATATTTAGGTAAATACATTTCGATCTGTGCCAGAAGAACAACTTGTGATCTTAAACTGCTGATATGAGGTGTACACAATCCCTCCAAGAAATATAAAGGGATATTCTGGTCATTTTGAAGTTGTGTTTAGTGCAAAACTTAAAAAGAATGTCCTTCCTGCTGTAGATTTGACACGACCACCCAATCTCCAAAGCTCATTGGCAGCTCATACAAACCCTATACAATTTCTCTACACAGGTTTCTCCTCTCTGGGTCACAGTGGAGCTGGTGTTTACCTCCAGCAGTCAGTAGCCATGTTTACATGGACATAATTGGAATAAAAATGTGTCACACATACGCCCCAATCTGAATATTCTGATCTCATTCAGCTCAACCAGAATGAATGTCATCTGAATTAGAGGGATGGTTTGTGCCAGTTTATAATCTGAATGGCGTGCATGTAGTCACTTATTCTGATCGTGGAAAACTGACCTGCATGTGCACCTAATGTCAACCAGGACCCGTATTTATCAAACTTTTTAGAGTGGATTTTTAGACTTAAGTGCTGAAAATTTCTTAGATTTGCTCCTACTTTCAGACTTAAGTGTAAGTGCCAGATATCAAAATTCTTGTCTAAGAATCACTCTTACTCTCAAGAAAAGTTAAGACTGCTCCAGAGGACTCTACATATAATCAGTCTGATCCATTGTGTATCTATTATTATTATTTCTCCCCTGCTGTCTTAGCTCTGTTYGTACTGAATAATTTTACATTTTAAACTACAGTTTCATGGTTTCCAAACACATAACTCACTGATCAATGAACTCGGTGCTGACACCGAAGGCCTCTGCCATGTATCCCAGCGTGAGCGAGCGGTACGACTCCAGCAGCTGGCTGTAGGCCTGGATCCTCATCTCCCTCACATAGTGGCGGTAGTGTGGGGCAAACAGCCAGTCTTTCTTCATCTCCTGCTCCACCATGGCTGTAATGCAAAATATCACATCAGAATGGCTCAACAGAAAAACACACAAATAGTTGAACCTCATTTAAAAGTGGTGATGTTTTATTCCTGGGTCAATAAAATACACTCACCCAGCGACTGGAAGAAGACGCTGTAACGGCACTCGTAGAGCGAGAAAAGATACTGGCGGACAGCCGGCAGYCTGTGAAGGACCTCCAAGATCTCTGCTCCTTTTATCACCTGCGGAAAATAAATACATTTAACCTTTGTCTTCTTTCAGAAAACATATCAGCATCTTGTGTGTCCCTCTCTTACCTTCTCGCGGAGGTCAGGCCTTTTCAGGGCGATCATGCAGACATAGACGGTGTAAGTAACAAAGGTTTTGTAGTCCATGAGTTCATAGGAGGTAAACGTGGAGACCGTGTCGAGGAAGAGCTCAGCAGCTTGCTTGAAGTCTCTGATGGCCACACAGTAAAGACCCTGGTAAACCTTCAGACGGTTCCTCCTGTCCCAGTCACCGCCCTCCTCAATGAGGCTGAGGAAAAAAGAAAACAGTTTAGCACACACACACACACACACACACACACACAAAATACTTCAGAGCACAAATGTAGAAGAACGTACCTCTTGGCTTTCTCAGAGTTGCGTGTGATGAGGTCACTGTCCATGTAGAAAAGGCCGATCCTCAGCAGGTAAAAGACTATGTCTAATCTGTGACCCAGAGCCACAGTTTTGTCATAGGTTTTTCTGAAGGCTGTTAGTGCACCTTCCTACACAGAACAAAACAATTAGAAATATAAGGGAAGTTCATCAAACCATGTGATGAAGGCAGACACCAAAATTAAACATCGTTCAAGCTACTAAATCACAAAAAGTGCATGTTTCTTTTTGACGATGCGTTGGTGATGTCCCACCTTATCCCCAATCCGGATTAAATATTCAGCTTTGGCCATCATTGCGTCTCTTATCTCACTCTCTCCCAGATTRTTCTCTGCATCCTCCAGAACATCATCCAGGCGCTTCAGCTCCTCTTCGTTYGCCTTCTTCATTTTATTTAGCAGCTCGTTGTCCAGCTGCCACTTCAGCTCTTTACACAGACCCTCATAATATGGAGCCATATCTGAAGCAACAACATAAAACACAAGTTTTTATTTTTATACAACTGAACCAAGCAAACAGAAACTTTTAGAAAGTAGCTGTTAAAAATCAGCAAACTATACGGACAAGGACATTTAATTAGCTGTGGTAGTAGCTGAGCTCAAATATATTTAAACGTCAGATCTCGCGATATGACCATGCATGGCGTTATTTCTCTTTACGTCTAACCAAAACGGTTATTTCTCCACAAAATATAATCAAAGTTTGCAAAATGAGTTACGTTTACAACGTTAAATTTAAGTGACATTATATATATGTATATATAATAAGCTTAGCAACGTAAGCAGGTCTTGACGCTTGCTAATATTTAGCTAGCATGCTAGCATTCTGCAAAGCCGTTCATTAAAACCTGAGTTTTTAACATTTCTGCATTCATCTTGTAAAATTTAATTTACCGTCTACCTAACACCAACACAGACCCCTGTGGATTTGTGTGTGTAAAGAGAAGTCTGATTAAAACAGGCTAACTCACTGTTAGCTTTGATAGCGTCCATGAGCTCAGTCTTCACTTTAGCATCCTGTCGGTGACCGTCCATCGTGAGCAGAAACTTCAACTGAGCTATCCTCAGGTCCGGGTTCTTGGGCAAACCCTCTTCCTCTAGATTCTCCAGTGGCATTTTTGTTAACGCAGGACAAACTAGAAACAAACCAAAGTTTTTCTTTGTGTGGACCGAGTGTACTCTTTACTGGTAGCAGCTAGTCAACGATGACTACGGAAAACACTGAGATGTGTTGTTTCCGCTGTAGAGCCGGTGAGCGCCTGAGAAGTAGGTACAGCAATTAGCTACAGTGCCCCCTGCTGGACACAAGCTGGAACATCACATGCATTTTACAGTGTTAGCTACTGTGTAAAAAAATAAATATCAGTAATTGTTTTATAGTTTCATAAAGAAAAAAAACTATAAAACGTTCAAAGCTTTTTGATTTATTTTTATGAATACATTAAATTCAGAAGACATGCCTAATA